AAAAAAAAAAAAAAATAAAGGAAGGATTGCTAAAGTAAAAAAAAAATAAAATAAAATAAAATTTTATAAAAAGTTTTTAAAATCTAGGATTTGTTTTAAATTAAAAAAAATATTTAAATTAAAAAAATTCAAAAAAAAATCACTTTATAACCAATAGCAAAATTTTTTATAAAATTAGGAATTTTTTAAAAAAATTTATTATCTGATTGGTTAAAATATTTTATAAAGGTTAAATTCACCAAAATTTAATTAACTAAATAAAATATATTGACCAGAATTACATAATGTGAAAAAACCAAAAATATCCACTAAGTACGTACTAATTATTCAGATAAACTATTTATCCTCAGGGCCAAATGTTGATCATTTGACCAGAATTATGCATTTTACAGGGGTTAAAACAATCACCGTCTAGAATTGATTTTTTTCGAGATTATTATTTTAGCTAATTAGATCGCCAAAAAACTATTTAATTAGGGTCACGTAACACTTACGTGACCCTAATTTCTTATTATATATTTAATTATTAAATATATCGTCTATATAAATACTCCTAATTTTTAACTCTAACCTTAAGTATTGATAATAAAAAATTATATAGTGTTCAACACTACTGGTGCGATTTATGATAATCGTATTTTAAATTATATAATATAAATAGTCAGATCTCAATCAAAGTTGAAGAATAAAAATCTGGTTATTTTAAAAGTTGTGACTACGTATACGAAAATCAATTTTGTATGTTTAATAAAAGTCACTAAAAAATAGTGTGACTATATCAAGAGTGATTACAACGGGATCTGACTGTATATACTGTATATTCAAAAAAAAGAAAGATGCATAAAATCTTTGCTAGAAAAATTGGGTTGATTGATATAGTAAACACCTTTGCTACAAAATCAAAAAAAAAGATTGACAACATTATTTCTTTAATAAAAACAAAAAATTATAGTTCTCAAAAAAAAAAAATAGTTAATAACGTTATTCAAATTTATTTAAAAAAATTATATAATTCTTGTTTACAATAAGGTTTAAATTATTTTAATAACACTGTACTGATATATACTTAAATATAGTACGTTTGATCGGTAATTAACCAGTCAAGATTATTTTGAACAGATCAAACTTCTATAATACCTTCCGAATAAAGAAGAAATTGATTAATACAAAAAACCCTCTTCCCCAAAAAATACAAATAAATAATGAACAAGTGAATTAGGCCATGCAAAATTAATTAATTGATTTTCATAACCCTGCCGGGTCAAAATTTGAAAACTCGTAAAAAAATTTTTTTATATGTTTTAATAACCGGATAGGTTTTTTAAAATTTTTTTAAAAAAATTATATATATGAAATTTAAAAAAAAAGCCGGCCGGCCGGCCGGGTTTGTTTAAAAGTTTCATGTTACGAAAACCAATATATTAAATTTGTGTGGCCATAGTTTATGTTTCTTATAATATTCAGTCCGTTATTTCATCTTTTTCAATTGTTTCGAATTCAAGATTTTGAGCCTCTTCCATATTCGATGCATTTGATTCTTCATAAGTTACCATGACTGTACTTTCTTGATCTGTACTTTCTTGCTCTACACTTTCTTGCTCAGCACACACTAACTCAGCACTCTCATGCTCCTCCAATTCAGTACTCTCATGTTCAGCATTTTCTTGTTCTGTATTCTCCTGTTCTTCAGTTTCTTGTTCTGTATTCTCTTGCTCTTTTTAATAAATAGTTGAAACACAATTCAAGATTTATTCTTTTTAGTCTTCAGAAAAAAACCAATTTATTTATTATAATATAGAAATTATACCATCTTGA